TAACAGTTAAAAACGGAATCTTGACTGAAAAATCTATTTTATGGAAATTGCCTATTACTCAAAAACAAAGCCAGCGACCTTGCGCTAAAATCCAGCACGGGTCACATAATCATAATATACATCTCTATATATCTATCTAGCTCTCTCTCTCTGCTCTCTCTCCCCTCTCTCTCTCTCTCGCTCCCGTGCAGCGCTCTCTCTCTCGCTTTCTCTCTCTCTCTCTCTCTCGATCTTCTCATCCTCTCGTCTCTCTCGTCTCTCATCTCTCTCTGCATCGCTGCCTCTTCTCTCTCGCTCTCCTTCTCTTCTCTTCCTCCATCATCTCTCCTCTCTCTACTCGCTCTCTCTCCTCTCTCTCTCTCTCTCTTCTCTCTCTCTCTCTCATTCTCAGTTCTCTCTCTCTCTATTTATATTGTATATCCATAATGGTTATATATTAATAAGGTTTTTAATTCAGACTAGGCTATTCCATTACTGTGGGTTATAGTCTGCGCAGTAAAACCGTGCGTAGATATGATTTGCCGTGTGCATGGCGTGGATAGGTTTTAAATCCGCGCCAGTTTTCCGATCCCGGAATACATCGTTAGCCGCCGCGAAGTGAAGCCATGTGTTGCCTCACTCATAGTGTGTGTTGTGTGTGTGTGTGTGTGCGTGCGTGCGTGCGTGCGAGCGCGCGCCGTGCGGTGTTTGTGTGTGTGTGTGCTGGTGTGTGTGCTGTGTGTGTGTGTGCTGTGGTGTGTGTGTGTGTGGTAGATGTGATGAGCTGTGTGCTATGTGTGTGTGTGTGCGTTGTGTGTGTGTGTGATGTGGGTGTGTGTGTGTGGTGGTTTGCGCGCGATGTGAATGTATGTGATGTGAGTGTGTGTTATGTGCTGTGTGATGTGTGCGGCGCGCCGCACGGTGTGTGTATACCTATATTTATCGCGTACATGTGCACGTGTGTGTGTGTGTGTGTGTCTGTGGTGTGTGCAGCAGCGCGGTTTTTGTGTGTGTGTGTGTGTTGTGTGTGTGTGTGTGTGCGTGTGTGTGGTGTGTGTGGTGTGTGTGGTGTGTGTGTGGTTGTCGTAGTATTGCTGTGCGTGTGTGTGTGTGTGTGTGTTGTGTTGTGATGTGTGCTGTGTGTGTGTGTGTGTGTGTGTGTGTGTGTGTGTTGTGTGTGTGTCGTGTGTTTCCAGCAACGATGGTTCTGCACATGATGTGACACCAAGCAGACAGCAGGTGGCGCCCTCTTACCGGCTCTTGATCCATCTTGCATATTATATTATTTATGTGCCAGGCACTACGCTCGCAGGCGCCGCAGATTGTCGCGTGTCGGCCTTGCCAACGTGCTGCCATGCTATACGGCGAACAACACAAGAAATACCATTCTAATCTGCTTGTCTTCGGCCAGGCAGAAACCAATACCTATCAACGAGCTAACATGTCCATTGGCGTTCATGCGTCCGTCCATGCGCAGCGCGTGCGTGCGTGTCTGCAGTGTTACGTGTGCGTGTGATCTGGGTATGTATGGCATCTTTGCGCGCTACATCTGGCGCGTGCGCGTGCGCGCGCGGCGCGGCGCGCAGCGTGTGTGTGTGTGTGTGTGTGTGTGCTGTGTGGTGTGTGTGTCGTGGTGTGGTGTGTGGTGTGGTGTCTGTGTCTGTGTCCTGTGTGTGTGTGTGCGAGTGTGTGGCGTGCATGCGTTNATTAATATATAATTACTCATAGGTCACCTGCTATGACCGGTGAAACGAAACCTCACGAATTGTATTTTGATCATGCAATCTGCAATGACAGGTCGGATCTAGCTATTATAGACACATCATGTGACATGTGTTAGCCTTAATCTTACTCTTAGGTCACTACTATACTCATAGTACTATTAGTATAATTAATACTATAATTATACTTATTATAATAATAATATATTATATAGAACTATTATATTATAATTATTTAATTACTTCAATATGTAATTACTCATAGGTCACCGGCTGATGACCGCGCTGTGAACGAAACGTGACCGATTGTATTTTTGATCATGGAAATCTCGCCAATGGACAGGGTCGGAGCCAATTCTCTGGTTTAGGACGCATGTATGACTGATTGAAAATATATTATCGTTTGGGGGTGACCTGTTAGGGGGCAGGAGAGAGAGAAGATAGAAGGAAGACGAGCGATCAGTGCAGACAGGAAAACGGATGAGAAGAGCTCGCCCTTTATGTAATTGCGTGAAAATTGTCGTTTTGGAGGGCATATGAAGATGGAGGAGGCCGAGAAGTGACTAGAAACATGGCGAGAGGTCCCAAGATGAACACCAATGTGCCTAACGCTACCCTAACTTACCCTTAACCTATTATTAATAGATTATAATATTATGTGTAGTAATGATAACGATTGAATTGTAAATATGACAGTGGTTATATTGGGCGACCATGTTCTCTTATCCATGTTGTCTATCTTGAACGCCATAAAAATTAAGAAAATCGAGGTCGACGAGTGGCGGAGGTGAAAGCTATGGCTGAGCGAGCGGCCAATTATACTGAATTGCTAATGAGACGAAGTAGCGAACAAGGAGAGAGCACTTGAGCGTAGCGAGAGTGATGGACCGGAAAAAAATAAAGCAGTCATAGGGGTTGTTAAGCTATCATGGTTATACGTGTATCTGTGTGTTCCAGGTAGCAGTCATACCTTTATGTTAAATAAAACAGGAAGATGGTATCCATTTAGGATCAGGCTAGCTATTCGGAAGTGTTCATCCAACCTCAGCTGCCTCGACCATCAACTGATCTCAACTGTCCACAGCCTTTGCTACTCTACTTGAAAGATGCCACGATTGCAGTGCCAATGAATCGGGTGTGGTTGGGCGCGTCGCAGGACCTGGACGAAAGCCTTCGCGGCAGCCCTAACCGCCGCCTCCAGATTCATGACAGAACTAGCCACCTCCGCACAGGCCCATCCAGCACCTCAAAGACTCAAGCTAGACCCACCAACCATATCGGCTGGATGTGACCCAGATCAATGGTCATCATTCCAAAGGCAATGGGTCATGTACAAGATCGGGATGGCGATTTCTGACAATGTGCTGCCCACTGCCCTGTTTTACTGCTGTGACATTGATTTACGGACAGACATCATGCGCGATCTGCGGGTGGACGTCGCTACCATGGCAGAGGCGGATCTTCTAGGTGCGATCAAGAGACTGGCTGTCAAGGACGAGAGCACCCTCGTCCATCGCATAAAACTGAGCAGGATGACCCAATCTCCTGGGACGGGTATTAGGACATTTTTGGCCAGCCTCCGAGGCCAGGCTGCCCTCTGCCAGTACAAGGCCAACTGCAAAGAGCCGCACTGCACCCATGTGTTCGATTACAGTGATGAGATCATCAAGGACAACCTCGTGAGGGGTATTGCTGACCCAGAAATCATGTCAGACTTGCTGGGTGACCCCAAAACGGACAGAACCCTTGAGGAAACGGTATCTTTCGTCGCCCAGAAAGAGCAGGGGAAGGTGACCAAGAGTGCAGTGGGAGACTCGGCGGGTGCCATGTGCAACACCCGTAATACCCCAAAAGCACCTCCGGCGATTAGAGCAGGTGGAGCGAAATGTTGGGCGTGCCTTGGTCCTACTCACGCGCCCAGGAACGACCGAAAGGCCAGGTCCAACAACTGTGAGGCCTGGTCATTCACCTGTGCCAAATGTGCTGTCAAGGGGCACTATACAACAGCATGCAGCAAGTGCACCACCTGCGGTAACTGGGGCCATCGTGACACCTCATCCAGAAGCTGTCCCCAGGGCCGCAGGAATCCGCCCAAGGAACGCGCACCGGTAGGTGCAACCAAGGATACGGGCCACGACAAGGCTAGTTATGTGTACGACCAGTTGTGCTCTGCGGATCACACTAGCCCTTGTGAGACATTCACTATGGAGTCAAAGCATCAAGACCAAGTCACTCGTCTCGAACATCATGTGTTTGATGGACAATGGGTGGCTCGCCCCTCCAAACCCCACCCCATGCTATTAGTGAGCATGACACCACTGCCTAAGGATCACGCAACATTCGGATACCCAATGCACGACACCTCCAGACTCAAATCGGTCACTATTTCCATGGTGGCTGACACAGGGTGCCAAAGCTCGATCATACCTCTCAATTCTGCTCACACCCTGGGCATTCAGACTCGGGACCTCCTCCCGGTCAAGCTTGTGATGCGTGGGGCTATAAAAGAGGACCTTGGCGTGATCGGAGCCATTGTAGTCGATGTTGCCACCAGAGCTACCACGGGTTCCATCAGGTCAACACGTTTGCTCTGTTACGTCTCTGATACCATGGAGAAAGCCTTCCTTTGCAGGGAAACACTCATCACTCTGGGGATCATTCACCCGGACTTCCCCACCGCTACGGCTGCAACACCTCCGGACATCGCTGCGTCCGTGGACAGCTCCGAGGAGGCCACCTGCTCTTGTCTTGTCCCAGACGCAAGCAGACTCCACCACCGATGCCCACCACTCTACCCCCAGGATTGGAGGCTACAGAAGAGAATGTGGAAGCACTGAAAGGATGGCTTCTTGACTATTATGGCGCGACGACATTCAATGTGTGTGAGCATCAACCACTGCCACTTATGAAGTGTGAGCCTCTACAACTCCACGTTGACCCAACGCCAAACCGGTGGCCATCCACAAGCCAGCGCTTGTCCCAATCCAGGCAGGATAGAGTCTATGCTGATCTCGAGAGGACGTCGCATGGGCGTCCTTGAGGCGGTCAGTCCCAACACACCCACAACATGGTGCTCCAGGATGGTGGTAACAGGCAAGGCTGATGGAACCCCAAGGCGGACTGTAGACTTGCAACCACAGAATCGTCACTCCGTCCGGCAAACCCACCACGTGCCCAGCCCCTTCCACCTGGCAGACAGTGTTCCTCAGGGCATGAAGAAAACGGTGACAGACGCCTGGAATGGGTACCATTCCGTGCCCATTCGCGAAGAGGACCGACATTTCACAACGTCATCACGCCATGGGGGCGCTACAGGTACAAGGTGGCTCCACAGGGATTCCTGGCCAGCGTGATGCCTACAACCAGCGCTTCGATGCCATCATCACTAACTTCCGAGACAAGGTCAAATGTGTGGACGATACCTGTATGTGGACAAATTCAGTCGAAACAGCGTTCTTTCAGGCATGTGAATGGCTTGACCTGTGTGCGCGCAATGGCATCACTCTGCACCCAGGGAAATTTCAATTTGCCCAGGACACTGTTGACTTTGCAGGACTTACGATCACACCGACAAACGTACGGCCCAGTACCAAGTTCCTGGATGCCATCAGAAACTTCCCTACTCCAACTGATATCACCGGTGCCAGAGCTTGGTTCGGACTTATCAACCAGGGGGCGTATGCATTCGCAATGACGCGGCAGATGCAGCCCTTTCGCGCTCTACTGAAACCCTCCACAAAATTCTTGTGGACAGATGAGCTGGACGAGTTGTTCCGCCAATCCAAGGAGGTCATCATCCAGGAGATGAAAGAAGGAGTGCGCCTATTCGACCCCGCTCGACTGACATGCCTTGCCACTGACTGGTCAGTTGATGGCATTGGGTTCTTCATGATGCAGAAGTACTGCCAGTGCACTACCCGAACCCTGTCTGTTGCCATGACGGCTGGAAACTCTGTCTGGTCGGCAGCAGATTCACACACCCCGCAGAAAGTAGATATGCTCCCATCGAAGGCGAGGCCTTGGCTGTTGCGTATGCACTCCACCAAACACGCTACTATGTGCTGGGATGCAATGATCTAATCGTCGCCACTGACCATAAGCCTCTACTCCAGATCCTGAATGATAGGTCGCTCACCGACATTGACAACAGGCGACTCCTCAACCTCAAAGAGAAAACTCTGGGATATCGGTTCACAATCGTGCATGTGTCTGGCAAAAAGAACCTGGGCCCAGATGCCGCTTCTAGACACCCTGTCAGTCAGCCCGATCGCCTACGCCTGCCAGGTGAGCCATCAGAACTTGACCTACTTGCCAACATGACTGTGTCCCGTCACGACACCCTGGCCAACCTTTGTCAGCATACAGAGGATACTGATATGGCTGATGACATGTCCACAGTCGCCCGCCGCGACACCAGTCTGAATGCTGCTATCACAGTCGTTACGTGGGACATGGTCCGTGAGGCCAGCATCACAGGTCGACACACTTGTCAACCTCATCCACTGGAGTCTGGGTTTCCACTGGATTGCAGAGAGCTGCCCACAGACCTGCGTCCTTATCACCGCTACGCAGCCAGCCTGTGTGTTGTTGATGGTGTGATACTCATGGGCCAGCGAATTGTAATCCCGCCTGCGCTTCGCACACAAATACTCAACGCACTCCACGCTGCCCACCAAGGGGTCAGCGCGATGCGTGCACGGGCCATGGACTCGGTGTATTGGCCGGATATCACCGTTGACATTGCTAGAGTGAGGGACCAGTGTGCACACTGCCATCAGACGGCCAAGTCCAACCCGATGCAGCCCCCTTCCGACATAACACCGCCAGACTACCCTTTTCAGATGATCTGCAGTGACTACCTTACGTATAACAGCAAAGACTATGTAGTAATTGTGGATAGGTATTCAAACTGGCCCATGGTCTACAGGTCAGATTCGGGTGCTGAGGGCCTCGTCAAGCGACTGCGTGAGACATTTGTGACATTCGGCATCCCTGAAGAGTTGACATCTGATGGGGGTCCACAGTTCAAGGCAGGAAAGACACAGGAATTCTTGAAGGCATGGGGGGTTAGACACAGGGTCTCATCCGTTGCAAACCCACATGCTAACTGCAGGGCTGAACTGGCTGTGAAAACGGTGAAACGCATGCTCATGGATAACATTACCGCAGCAGGGTCCCTCGATGTCGACAAGTTCCAGAGAGCATTACTGATGTACAGGAACTCTGTCGACCCAGAGACGAAGTCCTCTCCGGCACTGATCTTATTCGGGCGACCCATCCGTGATGCCATCCCTATCCCGCTGGGCAGATATTCTCCCCACGAAACATGGACAGAGCTGATGTCCCATCGAGAGATGGCACTCGCTCGACGGCACTCCAGGGAGCATGTGAACGGTGGAATGAAACACTCACGGTTACCAGCACTGCAGGTGGAGATCATGTCTACCTCCAGAATTTGGTGGGCAACCACCAAGAAGATGGAAACGCACGCGGAGCGGTCATAGAGGTACGGCAGTACCACCAGTATGCTATCCGTGTCGACGGTGCGGGCAGAGTCACTATCGCGAACCGCCACATTCGCAAGTTCACCCCTTTCAACAGAACTCACGGGGCACAGCAGTAGAATCCAGCCCAGTTGCGCAGCAACCGCAGGAAGTGATCTCCGATCACCCCACTCACTTCCAAGCAACACACCCACAGATGACCCAGAATCACATCCCATCACCATCACCGTTTGGGCATCAGACGCCGCTCGTCCCAAACAAGTCACCCACCGTGGCTCCTACGCCTGTACGTGTGTCCCAGACACCCCTAGCGCCACAGAGACTGAACTTCGATCGTTCGGACCACCACTCTCCTTGCCCGGATGATCCGGCTATGACCCGGGTACCACGTGCTATTGCCCGTCTCCAGCCTCACAATAAGCCTGGTACTAAGGAGCTACTGACACCGCGCAGGCCTGGCCGCCTAGTCAGGGAAGCAGAAGTACCAACACAGTGAGGGATGACAACGCCTGATCATGAGACACTGTTTTTTAAAGACTCAGTTTTATTCAGAACTATTCAGGGGTTGTTGTTTTTTGTGTGTGTTTTTTTTTTTTTTTACGTGTCCCGAGAGACTGTTAAAGGCACAGTTTTATTCAGAACTATTCAGTTGTTTTTCGTGTCCCGAGAGACTGTTAAAGACACAGCACATTTTCATTCAGAACTATTCAGTTTTACCAGTGTCCAGAGAGACGGTTGAGAGACTGTTGGAGACTATTCAGTTTTATATGTACCCATAAAAACTTGTCCCTGGGGGAGGAGATAACTAATCATTATACCTGTATCTGTGTGTTCCAGGTAGCAGTCATCCTTTATGTTAAATAAACCAAGGAAGATGGTATCCATTTATTGCTACTCTTATCTTTAGCAGCCTTGAGCAAGGCTACAACTGGATCTAGTTCATGCAAGTAAGGCATTGCTTTGTTATTGTCCTAGTG